CCAGAGTGGGTACAGGTTGGCTGGGCTTTGTCACAACATCAGCTGGCAGGTGATGGAGCTGGGGGCAAGTCCTGTTGAGCTACACCACAGAACCACCTGGAGAGTGCAAGATCCGGGGTAGGGAATGGGTTCAGTAGAGAAACCATGAGCACTTCTCTGAGGGGCTGCAGCTCCCACTGGTGAGCATGAGAACCAGGACTGGAGGGTAGACTTGGTTGGACAGTTTGGCTTTGGTGCCCAATGATGTGTAGGAGAGCAGAATGGAATGTGGGACAGACCAGACCAGTCCACTGCACATGGTGGCAGGCACAGACACCAGGGCTGGGGACAGGCCCAGGAGGGGGTACCGAGGGTTACTCCGACTGGGACCAAGTGTGTGGTGCGCAGGGCTGGGCAGGGCTGTAGCACCCACTGGTTTGCGTAAGGATAGAAATAGGGCTAGAAATAGATCTGACCTAGCAATTACAACTATCAGTGTGTGTGGGCTGCTGCGAGAGGCAGAATGAGCCGGACCCCATACTGGCAGGCACACATAAGAGTCAGGTCAGGAATCACCTCCGATGAGATTTCTTTGAGGGTCACCCCAACCGAACTGCTGGCCTCGGAGCCATGCACGGGGAGAGTGGCAGGGCCTGTGGTCTGACAGTGAAGTGCGTGTGTCTGAATGGGGCCTGCTCACTTCCTGAAGATGGCAGTGGACAGCATACCCAGAGGCACACGGGATAGGGCAGTCCACTGGAGCCTCAGGGGGGTATGTGTACCACGGCAGAGGAGGGAGGGCAGAGCAAGTTGGCAAACTACCCCACCAAAGCTTGACAGCACATTTCTGAGCACGAGAGCCTCTGAGGTGGACTAGGTCAGCCAACAGACTGTGGAAGGATTGCCTCTTCCTCAGATCTGCAAGATCCACAGCATTTCAGAACCACTGAAACCACCTGAGCAGGGCCGGGGATCCTGGGATGACATTGGGTGGCAGTTCCCCCATCCCCGGGGGCTGAGGCGGTTTGGAGGCTGGGTGTGGCTTCTCCCCTTATCTCCCCTCTTCCCCAGACACAGGAAGATGATAAGGAAGGTATGAAAACAACGGTCTCACCCAATTTCCCCGCTAATCCTTGACCCTTCCCACCTAACCAATTATGTAACCATCAAAAATAAAACTAAGAAAAAGCCCTCTCTGTTGCTCCACCCTTAAGAAGAGCTTTTGTGCAGAGTAAGCATTTGGCTTAGCTGTTTGATGTCCAGGCCCACACGGAGCGAGTGCCTCTGCCGGAATCCCAGCTCAGTCCCCGACTCCAGACCCCTGCAGCAATGGTGGTGGCTCTAGGAGTTGGATCCCTGCCATCTCCACGGGACACCTGCACCAAGGTCCTGGCTCCTGGCTTCGGCCCCGCCCAGCTCCAGCCAACACAGCCGGGAGTGCTCCCTGTATCCCACCCTCACAAACCTCCAGGAACAGCTGCTTTGGTAGAACATACCAGAGCTTTCTCTCTGCAAGCCATTCTTATCGCAAAGCCAGAATCCCCAGCAGACACCCTGGGGCTCTCAGGCGGCCCCACCCACCTCCTCCCTCCAGGGGGCTGCAGCCAGAGCAGGCCACAGTGACCTTTGGCCCAGTGAGGGCAGCAGATAAACCAGCCTTTGCAAAGCTCTTGAGATAGCTCTCTGCCCCTTACAAGGACAGACTCTTCTTCAAACCATTTTTACTGCATCTTAAACTATCTGAGGCGGTCCAGGTGACACACCTTCCCCAACCACAGCATCCCGGCCTGGGAGTGCCTAGTGGTTCCCTTTCTAAAGATTTATTTTTACTTAAAGGCAGAGTTATAGAGAGAATCTTCCATCTGCTGACTCACGCCCCAAATGGCTGCAGCAGCCAGAACGGGAGCCAGTACCCACTGGAATGCCAGCACGGTAGGCAGAGGCTTAGCGTGCTACACCATGACACCACGACACCAACCCCTCTCTGGTGGTCTTCTATCAGCAACAGGACCCCATCATGTTTCACAGCATGTGGATGGCTTACAGAAATGTGCAAAAAGAAATACCATGGCAACAGCACAGGAAACATCAACACTGAACAGCAGGTGCTGCCACACTGTGCGCTGACACAGTGACTGCTGACACACTGCGTGCTGCCACACTGTGCGCTGACATACTGTGCTGACACACTGTGCACTGACACAGTGACTGCTGACACCTTGTGTGGTGACACAGTCACTGCTGACACACTGTGTGTGCTGCCTGACACACTGTGTGCTGACACATTGTGTGCTGCCACATTGGGCGCTGACACAGTGCATGCTGCCATACTGTGCGCTGACATACTGTGCTGACACAGTGACTGCTGACACCTTGTGTGCTGCCACATTGAGCGCTGACACACTGACTGCTAACACACTGTGCGCTGACACACTGTGCGCTGACACAGTGACTGCTGACACCTTGTGTGCTGCCACACTGTGTGCTGCCACATTGAGCGCTGACACACTGTGTGCTGACACATGGACTCCGCAGCGGGCCCACTCTGGCACGGAGCAGCGAGACCACCCCTAGAAACCCCAGCATTCCGTACAGGTACCAGTTCAAGTCCTGGCTGCCCCACCTCCAACCTGCTCGCTGCTAATGCTCATGGAAAAACAGCAAAGGAAGGCCACCCAGCCAGGCTCCTGCCCCCACATGGAACCCCGCAAGAAGCTCCAGGCTCATAACTTGACCTTGGCTCCGGCCATTGTGGCCATTTGGAAAGTGAACCAGTGTACGGAAGATTCTCCGTTTCCTTCCACCTCTACTTTACAAATAAATACACCCATGTTTTTAAACAGGGGGACTCGGCCCTCCCCGTCTCCTAAATAATTACACCATGTGTTTTAGTTATTATGAAAAGATTCTGCTCTAAATAACGAGAAGAATGTAAACATTTTAAATGACGTTTAAGATGCTTTGACAACAGTAGAAAATGCCATTGGTAAAACAGTACTTCATAAAGGCAGGAGCAAATGCGTAAAGTGCTGGATCCCAACACCACACAGAAAGAACAGAGGGGCTGGTGTTGTGGGTCGGCAGGGTAAGCTGCCAGCAGCCCACAAAAGAAAGCAACTGCTGGGCCCAGCACCGTGGCCTAGTGGCTAAAGTGCTCGCCTTAAACACGCTGGGATCCCATATGGGCGCCGGTTCTAATCCCGGCAGCTCCACTTCCCATCCCTGCTTGTGGCCTGGGAAAGCAGTGGAGGACGGTCCAATGCTTTGAGACCCTGCACCCGCCTGGGAGACCTGGAGGAAGTTCCTGGTTCCTAGCTCCAGATCGGCACAGCTCCAGCCATCGCGGTCGCTTGGGGAGTGAATCATCGGACGGAAGATCTTCCTCTCTGTCTCTCCTCCTCTCTGTATATATGACTTTCCAATCAAAATAAATCAATCTTTAAAAAAAATAAAAAGAAAAGAAACTGCTGAAATGCAAACCTTGCAGGAAAGAGAGGCAAGGGCAACAGCAGCTGCAGCCACGCAGACCCTCGGCACCCCCAGCCAGGGCCACCGGGGCCTGCAGGCTCCCCACAGCCGACCGAGCCAGCAGTGCTGCCCACAGCAGCAAGCCTGGGCCGCCCACCGAGCCCTGCCAACACCAGGACGTGGCTGCGGCAGGCCAGGGGAGCCTGTTGATCACAATGGACTCTCAGTCCAGGGGCTCCCCAAATTGAGGCAAAATTCCAGAGAAGAGGGTCTCCCTACTGCCAGACGCTCACCCTTGAGCTTCCCCACAAAACTTCCCGAGTCCTCTGCTCCATTCAGGACCCGGGAGACACAGCAAACCCTACACAGGCCCAGGAACAGCCAAAGCCACGTGCTCCAGTCCCCCAACAGGCGTCCTGATGAAGACAACTCGCCCCAGAACAGCCGCAGTCACACTACGCGCCTCACACACCTTTGCTCTCCAACCGGCAGAGGATCAGAACGAGCCGGAGTGCTGCCCTGAGAACCCAGCACGGAGGCCCGGCCCCGGATCCTACAGAGAACCCAGCACGGAGGCCCGGCCCAGCTCCTACAGAGAACCCAGCACGGAGGCCCGGCCCAGCTCCTACAGAGAACCCAGCACGGAGGCCCGGCCCAGCTCCTACAGAGAACCCAGCACGAAGTCCCGGCGCAGCTCCTACAGAGAACCCAGCACGAAGTCCCGGCCCAGCTCCTACAGAGAACCCAGCACGGAGGCCCGGCCCAGCTCCTACAGAGAACCCAGCACGGAGGCCCGGCCCAGCTCCTACAGAGAACCCAGCACGAAGTCCCGGCGGCCTCGGCCCTGGCTTCTCTGGCTGAGGCACCTGGGCCCTGCACTGAGCTGCCATAACCACCAGGTTCAGCTCCAGCAGAGAGCAGAGCAGGGGCCAGTGCTGTGACGCAGCAGGCTACGCTGCCTCAGACGCCAGCACCCTACGTCGGAACCTCATTGCAATCCCACAGCTCTGCTTCTGACCCAGCTCCCTGTTAACATGCCTGGGAAAGCAGCGGAAGATGCACACATCTGGAGGCCAGGCTGGAGCTCCAGGTCCCCAGCTGGGGCCCGGCTCAGCCCTGGCTGCTGTGGCCATTTGGGAAGTAAGCCAGGGTCCCCAAGATCCACCTCTCACTCTCTCGCACTCTGTATGAGGGTGCCTGGCTGTCTGTCTCTCTCCCTCTCAAACACATAGATCTTTAAGAAAAACACACACGTGGTATGCCAACGGTGCTCAATTCATGCCCACATATGACATCTGGCAGCAGAAGCTCCAGCCTGTAGGACCCACCAGTGAAGGGGACATTCGGGGGGGACATGCAAGGCGAGTTCTGCTCGGGGTGTGTAACCACAAAGCCAGTGTTCCATCCCATGAAGACAGCCAGTGCGGGGGGCAGGGGTGTACAGCCAGGAAACAGAAGCTGAGCCCCAGTCCCTGGCCTCCAACCCCACTGGCACCGGCTCGCCTGACCACACAGTGAGCCCACCCTCCAGGTGTGCCCGGGCCTGGCTCTACCTTGGTTCAGGTAAGTGAGTGTCTCCTCGTGCAGCTTCACGGCCGGGGATGTGGCGGCACACAGCACGTACTGCAGGGGCGGCAGGCGAGCCTCGTTCTCCGGGGACAGCTGCGGCTCCTCCTGCTTGAAGATGGGCAGGGCAAGCACGTCCCTGCAACACACAGGGCCGGGGTCAGGCTGGAGCCCGGGCAGCCAGCTGCACAGCCAGACACCTGCAGCAGAGGCTTGCAGCCAGGGAGTCGCATGGTCCCCACTCACCCACCAGCTCAAGCCAGAGGTGCCACGGGACACCCAGAAAGGTGCCCCCGGCCATGCCCTCAGAAGAATCTTAACAAACGCTCTGACTTTAGGTTGACGGTTCGATGAACTGACCACTAGTCAGATCAGACCCTGTCCAGGGGGCTCTAAGTGCAAATGCAGGCTGAGTTCCCCACCCAGGGGCAGGGGACAGGCTCCCAACCCTCCCAGGAGTGCTCTCTCCAGCGGCGGCTTCAAGGCCTAACCCCAGGAAGTGTCTTCTCCACTTTGAAACAACCACATGATCAGGACCAGCCCTGGCTCTACATTCAAAACGCCCTTGCAAGGGACAAAGCGCTCCTTGAGAACCCGGACAACCTGCAAGCGGCAGAGACTCGCTACACCGTCAGCAGGGCAGCGACAGGTGCCAAAAAAGTGCCAGCATGCTTATCTTGATCAGCCTCCTCCCTGCACAGGTCCCGGGCCATGAATCAGATTGGCTGACCTGACTCCACTGTATAAACACAAGAGTCACCGGGACAATCTGTTCCCCACACGACATCATAAACGAGTGTGGCACACACCCCGACCATGCCCACCTCACTCTCAAGGAGAGCTGGGCTGTGGGCGCACTCAGACGCGCCGCCCTGCCCAGGCCGGAGGGCAGCTGCCAGAGTCCCCCACGCCCCACCGTCCTGGGAGCCAGTTCCCCCTCTGTGGAGGTCTCTAGGAACCCAGGCCAGCTCCCCTAAGGATTGCATAACCTCCTGTTTGCCCAGACCACGGCAAGTTAATAATCCATGGGCTGCTGCCTTCAAATTAAAAAAAAAAAAAAAGGCACGGGACAGGGGTAGGGTGGGGGCAGGCCATCACTCAACAGTAACTTGTTCAAGCCTGGTATCCTTATTTGCCAAGGAATAAAAGTCACAGGAACATCAAACACGATGGGGGAAGAGGAGAGTGAAGGCCACGCAACCCGCACAAGAGTTGCGGGAGGAGACCCAGGAGGCGAGGAGAAGGACCAGACCTTCGCTCTAGAATCCAGGAGCCGCACTGAGCCCAACCCTCACGCAAGCGAAACCCCCACCCTGCAAAAGTGAGCGGCGTGGACCCAAGACGGCGCCAGAAACGCAGCACCTAGGGCCTGCGGCTCCCGCTCTCAGGCATCTCAGCTATTCCGGGGACCTTCCCCTCCAGGGAGCAGATGTCAAGGCAGCCCCTCCCACGCGAGTCCCCAGCGCGGGCCTCCGGGACACGCAGCTGCACCTGCGCCGCACTCGGGGTCCCCCTGCAGCTCCCTCTCTGGGGGTCCCTCCCTGCAGCTCCCTCTCTGGGGGTCCCTCCCTGCAGCTCCCTCTCTGGGGGTCCCTCCCTGCAGCTCCCTCTCTGGGGGTCCCTCCCTGCAGCTCCCTCTCTGGGGGTCCCTCCCTGCAGCTCCCTCTCTGGGGGTCCCTCCCTGCAGCTCCCTCTCTGGGGGTCCCTCCCTGCAGCTCCCTCTCTGGTCCCTCCCTGCGGCTCCCTCTCTGGGGGTCCCTCCCTGCAGCTCCCTCTCTGGGGGTCCCCCTGCAGCTTCCTCTCTGGGGGTCCCTCCCTGCAGCTCCCGGTCCTGCCCGCGCCTGTGCCGCGCCTTCCCACTCCCGCCTGCCCAGCAGCGGAGGACGCACGATCCCCCCCAGCTCCCCCGGGCCTCCCGGGCCTCCGGCGACTAGCGGGGATGCACTTCCGAGCGGGACCTGGCGCTCACAATCCCCACCGCCCTGAGCGCGCACCAAAAGCCCTGCGGGCTCCGGCGGAGAGGAAATCAGCGCAGGCTAGAGCTGGTTCCGGCGAGTTCAGAGAAGGGGAGTGACCGCGCGCCCGGCGAGCTGCGGAGCCAAGGAAACCAGCGCACTCCGGCCCGCCCGGGGGTCCCGGGGATCGCGGGAGCCGCCGCGCACGCAGGGCTCAGCCCGGACCCCGCGCAAGGATGGGCTCTGGCGGAGCGCCGGCGGCCGGCACGACCCTGGGCACAGCGAAGCGCGCGGCGGATCGAGGGGTGCGGGACCCAAAGTTGCCTCAACTCCTCGGACGGGAGCGCCCCAAGTCGGCGCCCCGACGGTGCCCCTCGACCGGCGGGGTGCCCCGATGGCCGGCGCCGGGGGCGCGCGGCGCGCTTACCGCAGGTAGCTGCCGGAGCCGTGCTGGTTGTAGTGCTCGGGCTGCGAGTGCCAGAAGAGCATGGCTGCAGCGCGGGCGCCGGCGACGCGAGGCCCACCGGCAGCGACCCCGCCAGCCGCGCTCCCAGCCCCGCCGGCCGCCGCCGTGCTCCTTTATGGGCGGCCCGGAGGCGGGGCCGCGGCCAGGCCCGCCCAGCCTCGCCCGGCGGCCGCGCACCTGCCGGCCGGCGCGGGAGCGAGCGCCCCGCTCCGCCCGGGCTCCCCGCGCGCCCCTCGGGCCTCTGCTCGGCGCCCAGCCGGCCACGGCCGCGCCTTGCCGCGAGCAGCGCTTTCCGCCTTTAGTTCAAGGGAAGGCAGCCCGGGGTGCTGCCGGTCCGTGGGGTGCTCCCTCACTGCGCCCCGATGGCCCAGACGGAGAGGCCGTGGCGGGGAGTGGGGTGGGGGGGACTTCGGAGCCTGCAGAGCCCCCCAGGTGCGGCTGCGAGCGAAGCCCGAGCGGTGCCCGCGGAGGAGGGTGTCTAGGTGAGCGACGCGCAGAGGGAGGCCGGGCCGACGGCGGCGCCCCCGCGAGCTTTCCACGCTGCATCCGGACGTGTGGCCTGAGCCCAGGCCGCTCCTGCCGTCCACAGGTGACTGCTGCCCCCCGCCCACCGGCCGCAGCAGGCTCAGCCCTGTCCCTGGTGTGGACCTTAGACCATGGAGGACTCCACTGGGCCCAGACCCCAGGCCCGTGCTGGGAGGCAGGCCAGAAGCTGGAGCAGCCCGAGTCGTTCCCGCCACCCAGCACAGCAGCCAGGCACCTGCTGCAGCTGGACGCTGGCGAGGATGGAGGGGAGGGTAACGACAGCCAGAGGGGAGCCGTGGGTTCCGTGGGTGCCCCTTGTTCTTCCAGGGTGAGGGAGGAAGCAGGCAGGCAGGAGGCAAGCTGCGGGCCTCGGGGAGCACAAAGCTCAGCGGAAGGCGCAGGGGGCTTCGTGTGGCCGCCCGCCTCAGCCTGCCCGCCTCCTCTCCGGCACAATCTGTTCACAGGATGAAAGCAGTAGCTCTCGGGGGAGGGGAGGCCTCGGGGAGATGATGCTGGTGGCAGTGGCTGTCTCACCAGTGCTGCCGTCACAGCCTCTGAGGGGTGTGCCTGGGGTGGCTGACCAGCAGCCCCAAGTGTTGCTGGCATTACTTCTGCTGCAGTCACAGGAAGCCCCTGGCTCCAAGGAGCCAGAAGGTGACTCGGGCCACGCTTCCTGGGAATCCAGGAAGGGTGCATGCGGCGCACACCAGCCCCGGAGCGCTGGAAATACGGTGGGCCTGGGTTCAGCAGGTGAGTCGCCGCGGGGCGCTGAGTGCCTGGCTGCTCCCCCGCTTCGCGTCCTGCCCGCTCATACGCATCGGGAGATCCAGCTGCGGGTGGCTCCCGGCCTTGGATCTCCGCAGATGAAGCCAGCCTGTGGCTCCAGCCCAGCTCTGGCTGGGTGGGAAGCGGGCAGTGCGCCAGCGGGTGGAAATCCTTGCTGCCCAATTGTCTCTGTGACTCTTGGTCCCTCCGTCTTTCACATAAATGGAAACTGAAAACTCACTTAACAGGTGGAAATGCAAAGTACACCTCAAGTTCGAAACCTACATGAAAAAGGATTAGATAGTCTGCAGACATTTTTAATACAGATCACATCTGTGATGGTGGCAGTGTTTCCAATGTTTTGGATTAAATACAATGTCTTGAAAATTAATTTTACCTGTGTATCTTTTTCTTTTTAAAAAGTTGCATTTCTGGGACCTGGCACAGTAGCTGAGCAGCTAACGTCCTTGCCTTGCACACACACACCAGGATCCCATGTGGGCACTGGTTCTAATCCCAGCTGCCCCATTTCCCATCCAGCTCCCTGCCTGTGGCCCGGGAAAGCAGTCGAAGACGGCCCAAAGCCTTGGGACCCTGCACCCGCATGGGAGACCCGGAAGAGGCTCCTGACTCCTGGCTTTGGATCAGCACAGCTCCAGCCATTGAGGTCACTTGGGGAATGAATCAATGGATGGAAGATCTTCCTCTCTGTCTCTCCTCCTCTTTGTATATCTGACTTTATAATAAAAATAAATTTAAAAAATTTTTTTTAAAGTTGCATTTCTGGGGGTGAGCTTGGGCTCAGGGTTAAGATGCTGCCTCGGCTGCCCACGGCCCACTTCGAGTGCTTGGCCCCAATCCCTGGCTCTGCTTCCAGCTGCAGCTTCCTGCCAGTGTTCCCCCTGGGAGGATGCAGATGCTGGCTCGCATTGTTGGGCTCCTGCCGCTCATGTGGGAGAAGCAGATGGAGAACTCGGTCTAACCCAGCCCAGCTGCTAGAAACATCCAAGGAGTGAGCCAGCAGGTGGAGATTCCCTGCCTCTCTCGCTTTCCAGATGAAAATAAGTGCATTTTTTATATAACATTTAGTTCTTTTTTTAAAGATTTATTTATTTGTATTACAAAGTCAGATTTACAGAGAGGAAGAGACACAGAGAGGAAGATCTTCCGTCCAATGATTCACTCCCCAAGTGACCGCAATGGCCGGACTGAGCTGATCCGAAACCAGAAGCCAGCAGCCTCCTCCAGGTCTCCCACGCAAGGGCAGGGTCCCAAGGCTTTGGGCCGTCCTCGACTGCTTTCCCAGGCCACAGCAGGGAGCTGGATGGGAAGTAGGGCTACCAGGATTAGAATCAGCTCCCATATGGGATCCCGGTGTGTGCAAGGCGAAAACTAGCTGCTAGGCTACTGCTTCAGGCCCATGAATTTCTTTTAAACTGCCTATGTGATATGCATTCTAACCCTGCTGGACAGATGTGGTGTCAATTACAGGCATCTTGCCCCCTAGAGAACAGTAGTTGTCTCTGGACATACTCGTGATTGTGACAGCTGGAGGTGAGGTGTGACTGACATGTGGGGGTCAAGGAGCAACTGACAATGGGGTTCGAGGCCAGAGGCTGTGCTAAACATCTTACAACACACAGCATAGTCGCCAGCAAGAGTTGTATCTGGTGCAAAATGTTGACAGGGCCTGGCTAAGAAATCCTGGCCAGAGGTTGCTGACCTTCGGTGTGTGCAAGGTCAAGACCCCGGGGCACTTAGATGGCTGCTTCCCCACAGTCTGAAATGGCTGCTGACGCTCCAACCATTGTGACAGTGTTCCTACGACTCAAGAAAAAGAGCAAAAGGAAAGGCACACCATTGCTCTTCGAGAAAAGTGCACAAACCACATGTGCTTCTCCCCCAGTGACTGGGGGCTGCAGCTCCTCCCAGAGTGGCCTGTGCCCAGAAGAATGCCAGAAGTTTCTTACTGAGAAAGAGTACAGCTGAGAGAAGAGTCTCGTGCCCACCACGCTTTGCCAGAGCCACCAGACAACGAGTGATGGAAGCCCCGAGGCACACAGGGAAGTGGACCTGACCGCCCTTGGCCCTCAGTGGCCCCTGCTGCCCTGCCCGCTGGCTCAGCCCCACGCGTGTGCTTCGAGTCCTGTTCCTTCAGGTTTCAAACTCCAGGCACAAGTTTGAGTACCAGTGTGTGGACGATTTTCTCTATCTCTCTGTCTCTGTCACTCTTCTAGAACTCTGCCTTTGAAAAATAAATCTATAAGAAAAAGATGCACAAATCAATAAGCACAATAAATAACATGGGCAGAATGAAGAACAAAGCCATGTGCCCATTTCAGTATCTGCAGAAAAATGAAAAATTCCCACCAAATTAGGAATAGAAGAAACGTACCTGAAGATATAAAGACTACACATGCCAAACCAAGAGCCAATGTTACACCAAAAGGGAAAGCTGAATCTCCCTTCCATTCTGGGATAAGACAAAGATGGCCACTCTCATCACTCTTACTCAGCCTTAGCAGACATTCAGCTAGAGCATTTGGGGCGGAGAAAGAAGGGGATGGCGCTGAAACCAGAAAGGGGGAGGGGCGTCCTGATGGTTAACGATGCCGTGATTTCGTATGTGGAAAAAACCTAAGCACTCTTCCGAAAAGCTGTCAGAACAGGTGGGATAACTCAGTAAAGTGACAGGATACAAAATCAACACACGAGCCAGAAGCTCTCCCAGGTCTCCCACGCGGGTGCAGAGTCCCAAGGCTTTGGGCCGTCCTCCACTGCCTTCCCAGGCCACAGCAGGAAGCTGGATGGGAAGTAGAGCTGCCGGAATATAAGATTCAGGCTCATTCAAGGTGAGGATTTAGCCATTGAGCCGTCGCGCTGACCCCTAGGCCGTTTTATTAAAACCTGTTAGGCAAGCTCTGTCTACTCTTGAGAAACAGTAAGGTTGTTTTGGTTTTTTCTTCCTTTCTATCTCCGTGTTGTTGAACCCTAACCCTAACCTAACGGAATGTTGAGCCTGTGACTTAAATGTGAACTGAAAGAACACCATGGTAAAAACGTGGGGGAAAGGGAAGAATGAATGGCGAGGTTGTTGGGGAATGAATGGAGAAAGGGGGTCCCACTATGCTCCTGAATCTACATTGTCAAAAAGAATTTAAAAAATAAAGCTGTTTAAGCAAAACAAAACCAACCAAAGTAAACACACACACACAGATCATGTAACCCCTGCCAGGCGGACTATCTGCCGGCAAACAGGAAGTAACTATTGCTGACGAAGACATGCAGTGAAAGGAACGTCTGCCCTGGGAATGGAGTCTGGGGCCGTCAAGTCTCCCTGGAAAGTCCTCGTAACCAAACAGCAGACTGTGTGCTGGATCTGCATCCGAGAGCCGTGACGTCACTGTGTCCATCAGCACTGCTCAGCATAGCCGAAGCAAGGAGCCGATGAAGATGTCCATTATCACCTGTACGGAGGAAGAAATGTGTTATCTATGCAGGGTGCAATACGATTCAGCCACGAAAAGGCAGAAATCCTGTGATGTGCAGCAACGTGGATGGAACTGGAGGGCAACATGCTAGAATAAGCAAAACACCGAAAACTATGCAGTGCTGTCCCTCACATGTAGACGCTGAGTCTAACTTATCTGAACACAGAGGCTGGAAGGGGCAGGCAGCAAGAGCGAGTTGGATGATGGGTTCCAAATCCAACCGCAGCCAAGAAGTACATCCG